GTGGTAGGGCTGCGAATTGTTGTATGCGTTGTATGATTGTGTGCATTGTATGCATTGTATGTATTGTATGTATCGTATGATCGTATGCATTTAATGTATTGTATGATTGTATGGATGAATGATACGTATTGTAAGCCCCGGGGCGGGTCTCGTGCGTAGTCACCTCCTCGTGGTGAGACCTGGTAATTGATATCGTTTTACAAACATTAAAATTTGTAAAACGTTATCCAACTAAATTGTAAAACTATGTAAAGCTAAATTTTACAGTTTGTAGAACGATATCAAGCTAAGAACTACGCAACCTACAGTTCAGTTTAGATCTAAATTGTACTGTAGGGACAATTAGTTGATAAGTAAAGTATTAGACCCCCCCAGCGGGGCACCGAGGGACGTCGAGGGATGTCGCAGGGACATCGTGGGATGCGTGCGTCTTAACTTTAAGTTGCGTGCTCCTTAACTTTAAGTTGCGTGCGTTTAGTTTTAATTAATCTTTGTAAATTCATTGTGAGCGCATTCTGTACAAAGACACGTTTACTGAACTTGGGACGAAACTATGAATCCCTCATCTCCTCTCTTCTTTCTTTCGTTTTTGCTATTGTTACTTTATTCGTTAGCGTCTTAGCTTTAAGTTTACATCTTAGCTTTAGCGTGCGTTTAGTTTTAGTTAATCGTAAGACGGTTTTAAAATCAATGTTAGCACATTTTATAGAATGATACGGTTATGGCGAAACTATTTTTATTTCTTGTTTAAATATGTAAAATATTTTTGAAATATTATAACTTAATTATAATTATTTTCAATTGGGACTTTGATTTGTACTTTAATATATTTTGCTTTGGTTTACTTTTCATTGATTTTTCCTTAAAACTCTTTTTGCCGTTCGGTTGCACAATGATAAGTATTTTTGAATATTTTGCAATCGTATATCAGAAGGAGTTCAATATTTTTTTTTTTTTTTTTTTTATCGAATAAATTTGTTTTGAAGTAAAAGAAGGGTGGATGGGACAAGGATGGGTTTCAGTACGTAGCAATCTCAACCAGGGCAATCATTGTTATTTGTGATACAATTACTAATTGCATTCCTACGATACAATTATGAATACTGTAACAAATAATATGATCTAATCGGCTACGAGCACGATTTAGTTTTTAAAGGATGTTGAGTTATTAAAGAAATTGTTGATTTCTAAAATTATAGATTAAATTTTTTAATGATAACGTATAGTGCATTTATAAATATTGTGGAAGATCGTGGACTTTAGATTTTGATAGATATTTTATAACATGATTGATATTTTAAAACATGATAGATATTTTAAAACATGATTTTATAAAATGATAGATCTTTTCTATGTCGTCTCCTTTTTGATTAAATATCAGATCTGTCTTAAATATATTTCCCTAAGTGTATTTCAATAAATAAAACATCCCGTTAGAAGTAATAATTTTATAATTTCCAACGAAAAACCGATAATCGAGAAATTCGTAAAAACACGAATAGGGCTTTTTCTGATACACACATAAGTACATAATAGAATAATTTTAGATACTAATCTCGTTTTACTTAGTATAGTCACAGACGAGCGTTACATTTCGATATTGAAAATTTGACAACACTAATGAACAAAAAATCATTTTACTGGCGCATTTACTAGTTTCCCAACTCACCGTTATTAAACGTAGAGTGCACTAAAAAACCAGTGATATTTTTACTATGTCGGTATTTCAGGTTACGTTGCCGAAATCCGGTAAGATGCTTGGCCTATTCATGTACCTCGTCTATATCTGTGCAATCTTCTGCCATGCCGACCGTTGACCTTACCATAACTCGATTTTAATCCCGCTTTGCGTATATAATCACGGACGAAGTATATGAATAGACATTACATATAATAATGATACAATGTATTTTTTTGGCCAGGATTTCGAAGCTCCCAAGGCCACCTTACTATTTTCATGACACATTCTGTCGTAT